GAGCCGAAGGCAGACGCTTAACGACTGAGCCACCCAGGTGCCCCAACAGTGTGGATTTCTGACGAAGACACAGACCACAGCGTCCCGGGGACTGTCAAGCGGTGGGAGGATCCGCATGAGTGTGCGGCCGCCCAGCGGGCAGGTCCAACCTCCAGTGTCCGGCAACAGCTGGGACGCTCACACCGGCCCTCAGCACGGAGGAGCGCGGCACATCAGCGCAGGACCCTGCCCCTCATGCCCCGGCAGGAAACGGGTGGAGCTCACCTTCATAGAGGTTGCGGAGAAGCGGACGCTTATTGTGGCTAGGGTGGGCTTTGACGCGACGAGTCCCCGGATGTGCCTGGCACCACAGTGACTTATCTGGAACAAAAAACAGCTGCATCTCAGAAAAGGCTGTAAGGGCTGACTAGGGCTTGGCAGGTGGACAGGAAAAGCGAGCTCTGGAAAGCACAACTTGAGAGCAAAGGGCCTTGGGCACACAGTGAGTACGATGGGCCCTCTTGCTCACCCAGCCCTGCTTCGCTGGCCTTGGTTGTCCTGCAGCGAGGAGGGAGGGCTACACGCCCAAGCACGCCCATGAACGCTACCCACCTACAGGCCCCAACTGTGGGGCCTCACCCTGCGAGCAGAGGCTGAGTTAGGCACTCCTCTAACTCCCCGGTCCTTCCTCAGCCAGCTCTGGTGGAGGCACACACCAGAGGTTCCCATCAAGGGATGTGGTCCTCAAGGTCTCTGGGACTAGCCCAGAATGGTGCAGGCAGAATAGTCCCATGGGTAGCAGAGGCTCTGGAGTTAGACTTGGCTGAATTCAGATCCCAGCTTCCCCTCATTGACTGTGTGGTCCTGGCCAAACTTCCTTACCTCCCGAACCCTCAGTTTTCTGAATAAAAATACCCATTTCATAGGGCTGTTGGGAAGCTTCCATCGAGAAGCGTCCATCAGGACACAGGGCTGAACACAGAAGGCACGCTCCAGAAATAGATGCTTTAAAGCATTTTTAAAAATTATCCATTACTGAGGCCCCTTGCATTTAAAAAAATGTTAACAAAACTGACATCGTGAACCCAGGAATTTGGTAGTGAGTAACACAAAGTATTTCCTGCTAGGTGTGGGCACACCGGAGGGCAGAGAACCCTCAACGCCCTCTGTGGGTGTGCCCTGGGAGGCACAGATTTGGAACTGGCTCTGCCTGACCCTCAGGACGCCCTCCCAGCACTTCAACTTGAGCCATGAGGAGAAAGAGCCAAGTGCTGGAGCTCCACCCTGTCCACACGCTGCCTGTGCCCAGAGCAGACATGCAGACCAGCCAAGAGCAGTAGAGGCCCCTCTCTCTCCAGACCTTCAGATGGGCCTGACTTGCCTAGCGGGGGTCTGTCACATACTGACAAACACGGAAGCAACAAGGCCTGACGGGTAAGCCCAGACACACTCTCTAGCCACAGTAATCAGAAGCAAGACCACACCCGCGTGGGCTCAGCCCCGCCTAGACTCCAGGGGTCCTGGATCTTACCTCCACCTGGTGAAGAGCCTTGAATATTGACAGATCAAAAGGCAGGAGTTGCTCTTGAATGTTGCTGGTTCCAAATGGTCCTTCTGTGCCAGAAACCTGTGGCCAGACACAGGGCTTGAATCAGGGACGCTGCTGCAAGTGCTCCCCGGCCATGTTCGTGGGGGGGTGTTGCAGCAGCTGCAGACCTGACTTGCGGCTCTGCCGGGCTACGTGAGGCGCAGGAGGCACGTACCTCCACTGACCACTTGCGTGGTCAACAAAGCAGGCTAAAGCCAAAGTTTAAAGCAAGGGGACCCCGAGTCACGACTGCCCCCTGGTGCTCACTGCCAGAAGTGCAGTGCCAAGAACACCAAAGGTGGCCTTCCAGGTCCCAGGGCCCATTCAGCCACCTTCACACACACTGCCAGCCAGTGAGCTCTTCGGCCCCACCTGGGCTCCATGCCCACAACCGAGAGGCTCTCCAAGCTGCCACAGCTTTACCTTCAAGTACTTAAGGCGACAGGTGAAGTCCAGGATGTGCCCGAGGTCAGTCTTGGCGTCCCCACTGGCACACGTGGGCTTTCCGTGGTGCAGCTGCTCAGTGACCGCGTACAGCTGCAGGGGCCCGATGGCAAAGACCTCGCCAGCCCCCAGGAGCTGTTCTCCTGCAACAGCCGTGCCCCCAGGGTGAGCGCCCGGCCCCAGCCCCACTGTGCAGCCAGGGCGTCTGCCCCCCTGGCCAACAGTTAGCAAGCATGAGGCAAGCACCCTCAGGACGAAGCCATGGTCCTGAGCTCACGCTGGGCACAGGGCAGACCCAGGACACACGATTACAAAGGAGGGAAGGGCCCTGAGAATGTGCGACTGGGGAGCCTCCCTGAAGCGAGGCCGAGTCAAAATCTGCGGCACTGAGCTGGGACCAAGCCGGTGTGAGGCATGTCGGGGCAGCAGACCCACGCTACAACCTGCACACAGCCCGAGGTTAGGTGGGGTCTAAGGAGCCAGCCCAGCGCAGGACCTGCGAGCAGGCGGGGTTCTCAACAGTCCTCACTCTGCTCCTCCCAGCCAGGCACCCTCTTGTCCTCAGTGACCTCATCGGCACCGCCTGGAAGGAAGGCGGGGAGTTGCCCGACACGAGGCTGAAGGGCAGGAGCGCTCACTACACGTTAGCTACTGTTACGAGGCTCTTTGGCAGGGTCATGACCCAGGACTCGCTTCTGTTTGACGTCTCAACTCTCTCAGGTAAGGACAAAGCAGGTGCAAGATGGCAGCAGGTCACCCACCTTCCAGAACTCCACCACAGGGCTTTGGACTAGATCCTGAGCCTGGGGTTAGCCCCTGACACGGGGACTCAAGAGTCCTAAGGTAAAAGACCACAGCTTCTTAGACCTGGCTGCCTGTAGGGCCAGTGGGCAGGTGGACAGGCAGGCTCGGCTGTGGACCAGGCCCAGGGATTTGAGCAACCCTGGGGAGGTGGGCCCTGGGGAGCACTCGCTGGCAGGAGTTCCGTGCCACCCTGGATCCCGGCTGTCTGACAAGTCTGGGCGAGTGGCCACTGTTTTGGGGACTCCCGGCCACATACCTTTTTCAAAGAGTTCCTCAGCTAGTGCCGCAGTGATGCCGTTTATCTCCTGCAGAGAAATCAACCCGCAGTTAGAGTTCCCCTGCCCCCAGGCCCTCAGACTCACATTCCCGGCCATTTACTCTCTGTTGCTGCAATGTCAACTCTCTAGAAAGCTAATAAAACAAACAGAGCTTGTAACATACGACAGGGGAGAGAGTAAACTATAAATCAAATTGCCCAGGAAGGGAAACGGAGTATCTCCAGTCCTGTGGACATCTGGAATGTCGCTTCAAAGGAAGAACAGGAACGGACTATCGCGGCGACTCAGCACACACAGGCCCTGGCTGTGGCACGAGGCCTGGGAGGCTGGCCAAGCCTGGCGATCCTGGCAGTCAGCTGGGAAGCCAGCAGCCCCCAAAACTGGCCCCAGAGGATCCCAGGAGAGGGCGTGGCTGAGAGGAAGTCCTGTTTCTTCTGAGAGTGACCGTTTCTACTTTCGTTCATGTTCCAAAGGTGCCTTAAGAAAGTGAGTGCTGGGGCGCCTGGGTGGCTCAGATGGTTAAGCATCTGCCTTCGGCTCAGGTCATGATCCCAGGGTCCTGGGATCGAGTCCCACATCGGGCTCCCCGCTCAGCGGGGAGCCTGCTTCTCCCTCTGACCCTCTCCCCTCTCATGCTGTTTCTCTCTCGCTCACTCTCTAAAAAATAAATAAAATCTTTAAAAAAAAAAAAAAAAAAGAAAGTGAGTGCTGGCTCTCTGCCTATGCTCATCCTTCAGCCTTGCAACAGTCCCCATGGCCCCAGGGTCCTAAGAAAGAGGCAAGAAAGGACTTCCTTTCAGGAGGCTTGAAAGACTAAGCCGTCAGTCATATTCAGAGCTGGCGTGCTGGGATCTACACCACGGTGGGCAATGCCTGAGCGCCTGGCTCACTCCACGGCCCCAACGCCCCATGCGACGAAGATGGCATCCTGAACCCCGTTTCACAGATGAGCAAACTGAGGTGAAGAGTTGCTGTACTCTCCAGTGTTACATGGCCAGGAAGCAGCAAAGCGACTTGGCCTTGAAGTCTATCTCTGTACATAAGCCATTGCCTCGGCACTTTCGTGTGTGATCCTGGGGATGGCAGGACCCCACGGCCCCCAGCCCAACATCGGGCAGGTAAGAATTTTAACGAACTGACAGATGGCAGCCAACAGGACTTTTGGTAAACAGGCTTGGACGGAGACCACGCGGTTGCCTTCATGACTCATGGGAACATCTCGGCCACGAGGACGTGCGATTCACATGTTGATGGGACTCAAAAGGCACCAGGTTGCAGGAGACAGAGTGTCCTTTTCCTGTTTTTCTTTGTGGTTTGTCTCCTTATCTTTCATACATGATGGATATGCTGACGGTTGTTTATATGCTGCAAATATCTTCTCCCTGTCATGCAGGCCTCTTACCTTTGTGGCGGTTTTCCTGACACACAGAGATGCTTCATCTTTATAAAAGTTGTTTAATATGTGATTCTTTTCCTTTGTGACTTCAGGGCTCTTCCCCCATCCCAAGATTATAGAGATATTCCTCTTTTTCTTTTAATACTTTATGCTAGCTTTTAAAAATGTGTTTATTTCTTTAAGCTGCTCAAAATTCAGTTTACACACAGTGTGAGAAGAACCCCCCTTCGGCATCACAAGTGGACAAAAAGCCCAGTGTGGGGGCGGAAATGAGCAAACACAGCCCCAGCGTTAAGAAGCACAGGGTCTGGCAAGATCCAAGGTCAGATGCAAAGGGGCCATCAGGACGACACAGACTCTGAGCAGGAGAGGGCTCCAGGTAGGGAGGAGAGAGGCTCTCCGTTCAGGCCGAAGTTCAACTTCAGTCTCTTACAACGACCTAAACTCAATTTAGTTTCCCTGACTGCAGTAAAGAACTGAAGATTAGTAAGAGCCTGGAATGATCCAAACGCTCGTTTCTCTACCAACAGTTTTAAGCACCGTGGCCGGAGTCTAAGTCAGCACTTCCCCAGCCCGCTGCTGTGAGCATCACCTGGTCAGCCCTGAAAGAGGCAGGTTCCTGAGCAGCAACTCTCTGGCCCGTGCTAGTGACGCTGGGGCTCCCAGAAGGTCTCCCTCGGGAAGGGGCTCCCTGCCATCCATCCACACCTAACAATGTTACATTTCTTCGGGCAGCTGCCCTCAATACCCCCTCAGGGGACAAGGCTGGCATTTCTGGAAAACACAGAAAGCTGCAAGATAGCGACGGTCAAGGGCTGATGCTAAGCGGAGAGCAGGTTTTTTACTTCTGGGCAATCTAAAAAGCAAACTATGTGACAATTGCTTTCCGCTCTTCCGGGCACAGGAAGTGCACGCTGCTGTTACACTGTCTACTTTTGCAACACTACCTAGTTTCCCAGGCTCGTCTCCCCCTGCGGAGACTTCATCAGAGAGAACACAGGGATGCCTCGGCCCCTGAGTTTATGGTACAAGTCTCCTGAGAAGAGAATTTTGTTGGCCTCCTCAGAGTTCTGGTTAAGCCAGCCTTGCATACAGACCAAAGGTGTGCAGAATCAGTACCCCCCCCCCAGCCTAAGTCACTACAGATTCTGCTAGGAGGTCACCTGTGCGGACAGGTGACCCCCCCACACACCTCACCCAATCTAGGCGGAAGGGACCTAAAGTGCTTCGGGGTGCCACAAAGGTCTGAACTGAGAAGCATTTTTTAAAAAAGACATTCTTTATACCTCAAAAAAAAAAAATGCAATTAAAATTAGCTACACTTAAAAAAACCAGTAACACCCATCCCTAAATGGGTTATAGACCCGTCAGTCGGGTGCCTGCCAGGATCCCGAGTTGAGCTGCACACAAATGCGCCATGAACTGGTCAGGCTGTAGCTCGGCGGCTGCCACTCTGAGCACGTCTGCGCAGGCAGAGCCCGCGACCACGTACGCCCTGAAGCGCCTGTGCCTATGCTCAAGGAGTAACCCCGGGCCAGCCCAGCACTCCTGCTGGGAGCGTACTCGAGCACAGAGCCCTTGGTAATGGGGCACAGACAAGGGACTCCCATCACACGGCACTGTGTGGTTCACACACACATGCTAAGGGTCAGGGGTGGGGAGGACCCTATGTAACTTTTATTTCATGACCGTGATGAGGCATTCTAGCAAGAGTCAGGTATGTTATGTGCAATTTGGCTTTAAGTAAAAATTCCCTAGCCTCAAGAGAGGTTCAAGCCTCAAGTTTCACTGGAGAGAGCTCCAAGGCCATAAGTTACAGAGAAATCTGTCCTCACTTACAGCCTCAGTACTTGCAGCTGAGACAAAGGACGAAGGTGAATGCTAAGGCTGACATCAAGACGGTAACCGTTTGAGGCACCGGGGTGGCCAGGCGGTTGAGCATCCAACTTTTGATTTCTGCTCACATTATGATCTTGGGATCGTGAGATCAAGCCCTGCGTCAGGCTCCGCGCTTAGCGGGGAGTCTGCTTGTCCCTTTCCCTCTGCTCCTCCCCCCAGCTCGCTTGCTTGCTCTCTCATACAAATGAATGAATAAATACAATCTTAAAAAAAAAAAAAATGGTTCAAATTTCGAAAAGTATCTTTGTCCTAGTCCACTGGCTTTAAAATAAGAAAATGACAGAAATGCCACCTTTGCCAAGAACTGAGTGCCTCTCCTTACCAGGGCAGCCAGTACTGGCTGGCACCTGGTGAGTCTCGGTGGGCCCACTGTTCTTGCAGGTCCTTTACTGTCACTGCACAGCCTCCTCCAATGCTCAAGGGCTGGGGGTCATCACCCCCAAGCTTACAAAGGAGGAACTGGGACACAAAGAAGTCAAATGATGGACTTAGAATAAACGGTGGGGGTGGGGGGGCACCTGGGTGGCTCAGTTGGTTAAGCAGCAGTTCTTGGTTTTGGCTTGAGTCATGATCTCAGGCCTGTGAGATCGAGCCCACATCAGGCTTGGTGCTGAGCGTGGAGCCTGCTTGAGATTCTTTCTCCCCCTCCCTCTGCCCCTTGTGCATGCTCTCGCTCTCAGGGAAAAAAAAAAAGGCTTAAAGGGTCTGGAAATGGCCTGCCTCCCGAGTCCACTGGTTGACATCCTGCCACAAAATGGTGTGCTAGAGGGCGCCTGGGTGGCTCAGTTGGTTAAGCGACTGCCTTCGGCTCAGGTCATGATCCTGGAGTCCCGGGATTGAGTCCCGCATCGGATTGAGTCCCGCATCGGGCTCCCTGCTCAGCGTGGAGTCTGCTTCTCCCTCTGACCCTCTTCCCTCTCGTGCTATCTCTCATTCTCTCTCACTCAAATAAATAAATGAAATTAAAAAAAAAAATCAGTTAAAAAAAAATGGTGTGCTAGAAATTCTTTGTGGGATTCGTTTCATTGAATTTGAAAACCTCTGCTCGTGGGGTGATGGCATGAAGTCTGTCACGGAGTCCCAGGAGTTCCAGAAGCCACAGCTATCTGGAGAGAAACAGCACAGCAACAGGCCCAGTGCCGAGGTGTGCCCACTCACAGCAACATGCCCTGGCCCATGCAATCCCCATCTCAGAGTTGGCCATGGAGAGAAGTGCTGCCTTCTTTCCTTGCCATCAAAATCCACACTGCAAAAAAATGAAGTTGGAACCCCTTACCTCACACCGTAAACAAAAACTAACTCAACATGGACAAAAGACCTAAATATAAGAGCTAAAGCTATAAAACTCTCAGAAGAAAACCAAGTTGTAAATTTCTGTAACCTGGGACTAGGCAATGGTTTCTAAGAACATCAAAAACACAAGTGACCAAAGGAAAAAAATGGATGAACCGAACTTCATCAAAATCTCAAACTTTTGTATTTCAAAGGCACTACCAAGAAAATGAAAAGACGATTCACACAATGGAAGAAAACATTTGCACATCACATTTCTGATAAGGGTCTAATATCCAAAATTTATATATATATGAATATATATATATGAACTCCTACAACTCAACCATAAAAACACAAGTAACCTAATTTTTGAAAGTGCTGAGGACATCTGAACACACATCTCCAATGAAGATATGCAAATGACCAATAAGCACGTGAAAAGAGGCTCAACCTCATTAGGGAAATGCAAATCAAAAGCACCATGAGATACCACTTCACAGCCACCAGGATGGTTATCAAAAAAGTGGACAGAAACAAGTTTGACAAGGATGTGGGGAGAGAAGAACCTGCACACTGCTGACGGGAATGTAAAATGGTGCTGCCGCTATGGAAAAAAATTTGGCAGTTCCTCAAAAAGCTGAAGTTACCATAAGACCCAGCAATGCCACTCTTTATGTATACCCAACAGAAAGGAAATCCTATGTCCACACAAATCCTTATATATGAATGTCCACGGCAGCAATATTCGTACTAGCCAAAATGTGGAAAAAACCCAAGCATCCATCAACTGATGGATAATGCTGTATACCTAATCAGCAGAATATGACTCAGGCAAAAAGGACCAAAGTACAATACAAATGGACCTTGAAAGCATCATGCTAAGTGAAAGAAGCCCATCACAAAGGCCACATTTGTATGATTCCATTTATATGAAATGTCCAGGATAGGCAAATCCATGGGGAGAGAAAGTACATTAGTGATTGCTGATGGGTACGAGGTTTCTCTTCATAGTGATGAATGTTCTGGAATTAGACAGTGGTAATATCTGCACAACTCTGTGAATATACTAAAACCAGGGAACTGTATACTTTCAATGTTTGTTTGTTTTCTTTTAGATTTATTTATTTGAGAGAGAGCGTGCGCATCAGCGTGCATGCACAAGCCGGGCAAGGAGCATAGGGAGAGGGAGAAAGAGAGAAGCACAGTCTCCACTGAACTGGATCTCAGGACCCTAAGATCATGACCTGAACTGAAATCAAGAGTCGCTTAACAGACTGAGCCACCCAGGTGCCCCAGGAATTGTATATTTTATTTATTTATTTTTTAAAGATTTTATTTATTTATTTGACAGAGACAGAGATAGCGAGAGCAGGAACACAAGCAGCGGGAGTGGGAGAGG